TGAAATTTGCATTGCCATAAAAGAATGCTTAGAGTGTTTGGGCTCCAATTTATTGGGTGTATGTGCAGAGGGAAGGATGGCCATTTCTATAACCCAAATAAAGTCCCATTTACAGAATGTGAATTAAAAAATGGAAACCCCTCCCCTTTGTGTCAAGATAGTCTTTCTTTAAAACTATGCAGCCATACATGGAAAGACATCTGTGAGTGATTGCACAGTGAGACTGGTATTGGCCATTGCTAGCAATTGGGCAGACTGGAATTTCTTGTCCCTCTGTTTATCTCTAGAGGGACATGCCTAGAACAGTATATGTGGAATGTCAGATTATTTTGCTTGAACAACCATGTTAACTGCAGATTGTATGGTTATGACACAATGAGATCAGGTTGCACTGACAATATGTTACACAGATGATGTTTTGCAAGACAAGCTACGTGTCCACAATAATACCTTGTACAGTCCCAGTTTAGATCACTATCACTGGCAAATTATGGGTCATGTTACATTGTATGATCAATATGTGGCATCCATAGACTTAGGAGTGTTGACAATCTTTACTAGATTGTGCTGGTTGGCTGTTAGATGAAAGAATTTGCAATCTAAAGGCTTTCAAACCTCCTGCTGTTAGAGGTAACCTGGATCTGGCGATATGTAAACTGGAATAATCCCTATCCTTGTCTTGGCATGGTGTGTGTTTTTTTTTTTTTTTTTTTTTTTTTTTTTTTTTTAAATAATTACTAACCTCTTAAAATAATAGGGTAATACAATGACATAACATATCTGTATATTTGTTTTTATTTGTATGGTAATCCTTATATAATGGTAAACATTCTATACCAGTATGGGTATCTGGAATTTTTTTTTTTTTTAATTGCTCATAGAAATGTTACGATTTAAAGTGTTACAAAACCCACAACAGTAAATCAGTCTGTATATGCAGTAACGCATGCTTGTTATACTCACTTTAGAACCTAAGGGGTTAATCCTCTGCATTGTGTAAAAAGGATGTTTGATCCTGTCTTCTCTGATCCTCCCATTTCTCCCACTGTCACCAATATAACTCCTGATAGAACAGAGGTTTGGGGACAAGCTGCAAATGCTGTTTGGTGTGTATATTATTATTTTTTTTTCTTGGAAGAGTGCATATGGTCAGCACTGTTTAGACAGAGGGTCAGGGGAGAATGAAAAATCTTCCTACAAGCTTTAACATATACTTGGCTAGATACTGATAGTGTCACAAGACTGCTATATACTGCTAATGAGAAAAGGCATTTAGCAGTTTATACTTTAAATAATTACATTTCTGTGTACTGTGGGAGACCAGATATAGTGAATGAAGGGTCCTGGGTTTGCAGATGTCAGCTTAACAGGACTTTAACGCTCTCTAATAGGTCATTGATTCTTCCTGTCAAAGTGTAACTGCCTGCCCATACATTGTACAGGCGGACAGCTTACACTGACAGTCCTGCATGGCACCAGTGATCCACTGACTGCTAGTGCAAAGCTTTCCGGGCTCCTACAAAAAAAACAATAAATGCACTTTTTTTTTTTTTTTTGTTTTAATGCTAGTCTGATTGAAAATGAGGTTACAAAATTCTTGTACAACAGAATAAAAATTAAGAAGTGATGTGTCAGACAAAAATGCTGATTAAACAAAAATCGTATGATCTGGTGTCTTGCAAGAGAACGAATAATTTCAGGCGAAAGCTGTGTACGAATGATCTGATGATCGTACAATCGCTTTTGAAAGCTGTATCTTTCATATGATTTTCTCATGTGTACTAGGCTTTAGAATTCTCAAATCGAAGCAGGACTTCTTTAACTACTTCAATACCAGACACTTTAACCCCCTTCCTGCTCAGGTCAGCTTTCAGCGCTGTCATAATGAACTTCATACTTTGAATAACAATTAGTCACGCAAGACTGTACCCAAATTATTATTTATTTATTTTTTTCTTTTATTAGAGCTTCCTTTTTTGGTAGTATTTAATCACCAAAAATTGAAAACTGTGAACCTGAAAAAAAAAAAAACAATGCCGTGGGAACTGCAAATATTCTACAATTATATGTGCAATACAACAATTAAATAAAAACATTAACAATACAGAATTAAAGTGCAACCAAACAGGGATGTGCTATAAAAGAAAGCAATGTGCTATTCCGGTTCACCTTTAAATTCTTCTGAAACTGTGCCAAAAAAATTATATTCCTCATTTTTGTTAACTAAAATCTCAAAAGGTCCATGTGTACAAACATGTACAAATAAAGTGACCAGTGCAACAAATAAATAATAAAATGTGCAAAGAAGGAGCAGAGAGAAAATCCAACTTCTAATTCAATCCACCACCACAGCTGATCACCACCACATATTCAAACTCGCCAACCAAATTTGCTCTTTCAAACCAGGAAAATGGCAAATAAATTCAGAATATTCCCTTTATGGATGTTCACTGCACAGCCGCAATATTCAGCTCTCAGAACCAGCTCACATCATAAATACCTTTTTTATTATAGTGTAAAACTGTCTATTTATTCATAAAGTTTTACTAAACACTGTAAAATAGACAGTAGCATTGCGCATCAAATCTTACAGCAAGCCACTACTTTCTGGCTACTAGTCTGGACCTGAACACCGTGGTGACATCACATCTACAAGTCCTGCCCTATATACATCTCGCCTATCAATGTCTCCTATTTTTTTACAACGGCATATAAAATCTAAAACAAATGAAAATTCACAACCATGCCATCTGCATGTATACAAGGTCACAGACTAATGACAAACTTGGAAATAAAAACAAACGTGACGGTGCGCAAGGATGCCAAGTTGGCCCTTTTGTGTTTGGCCTATGTGCTTACCAACAAAAGTTGGCTGCCTATCTTTTTATCTCAACTAAACAATGTTGCTTTCCAGGGGGTGAAGGAGTGGATGACTGCTCTAATGCTCAATGAGCAAATCTCTTGGATTTTGAAAGACTTGCATTAGAGTTTGGGAACTGCAACTTTCCTACACATTCCCCATGCTTCACCCAGTTTGTTTGGGCCGCCTATAACTGCCACTTGTGGTGCTTCTGCGTCTGAGAAGTCTCCTTCCCCTGACCTTCCTTTCCTCTACTTTTCTCATTTCCTCCTCCTTATGGTCTCCTTCTACCCATGCCTTTTGTTTGTTGTCCTGTGGGGGCCTAGTTCCCTTGAGTGGGTCCTCCTGAGATGACGGCAACCTTACCCTAGGGACATGGTTTGTCTGATATTGGCTGTCATGTATATGGTTTTCTCTGGTTCTTATAATACCCATTCAATACCTGTCCCCTGCATGGGCAATTTATGTGCCTCTTTGTTTTTGTTCAACCACAATTTAAAAAAAAAAAATAAAAATATTGAAACAGAAAAATAAAAATGTATAGACCAATCGGAGCAGGAGTTTTGACGTGCACATATTAAAGCAGCAATCTTTTTATGACTAGATAGACAGTTTTACACTATAAAGGCTTTTCCTATTTATGCAAACTATTTTCTGAATTTATGCACTATTTGCTGGTTTTAAAGAGATTGGTCCACCCATGTCAAAGGGCTCTTTATTATTTTTTATTTTTTTTTGCACATACTGGGACCATAGAAGTGCTATGTTGCCATAGTGACTTTAGGGAGGCGAGCAGGATTACATTTTTTTTTTTTTTTTTTTTTTTTTTTTATTAACACTGATTGCTACAACAGTGATCTTAATTCATATACGCAATCCTTTTTTATGAATGGCATCCATTCAAAGCCAGTATGTACTATTGTGAGAGCTGTGATTGACCACAGCTATCACATGGTACAGATGGGCTGTGATTAGCCTGTCTGTACCATGTGACCAATCAGAGATCGTCACAACAGTACACAGTTATGTACAATGGCATGTGATCATTTTGTTTGTCACATGGTACCGAGACTGGCCCAGAACACCGATTTGTCATCCACCTAGAACTACAAAGGTTCCGCTCGGCTGTCTTTTGTCTATAGGCTGGGTGGGAAGTGGTTTGGGGAAAAAAAAACCCCAGTGCACAGACAAAGCTATAGCAACAGGTTTGAAGTGTAAGTTCACCATCAACATTTTCCAAGCCATCTCCCTGTAAAGGTTTGAAAGTTCCTCTGGGATTGGTATTTGATGGTTTTATCAGTTGTGATTCCCTCAGAAATGCTCAGTGGATACATGCAGTTCATTTCGTTCTGCTGTGTCAGAATTTCTGAATTACAATCGTAATGAAACTAAATTTTGTCAAACAATTAATCATTCAAATTGAATTTGAATCTATTTCGAAAAGGAAATAGAAATATAAACATATTGCTGATTTCTTTTAAAGACTCTGTATTGGTGTCAGAATATAGCCCTCTTCCAAAATTTGAATTTCGAAAAGAATATCCTAAAACACAATAGGATAGGAGAAAATAAAGGAATAGAACACTGTAGAAGAGAAAATAACAGACTAAAATAGAATATGGCCATCTTCTGAAAATAGAATAGGAAAAAAACTAAAACTGAATAAAATGGAATATAGCCATCTTTCAAGATTTGAATAGAACCAGCTGTTACAATTTGGATTGATTTTTCAATTCAAATCCATTGGAAATTCGAATTTCAAATAGAGTAAAACAGAATAGAAAATTTTAAGACTGGAATAGAAAAAAAATAGATTAACAAAATAGATTATAGCAGTCTTCCAAAATTCAAATGGAACAGAACCAGCTATTCTTCACCATGAATTCGGATTGATTCAATCTTTTTGATTCAAATACTTTGACTGAATTATTATTTTTCAAAAGGATTCAAACTAATAAACTAAACAAATTTTCATTAGGAATGCAACAAAATGAAATTAGTAACTTAATGAATCGAAATAAATTTTTTCATTCTGCACATGTATTCGTGTTCAATGCGAATGAAATGCTAATAAAACGTGCATACAGGTTTGCTGTCAGTGTAGGATTGTGGAATATTATTCATTTTATAAGTAATATTCATGTATTGTATTTTCTTTGTAGGGACGTTGGTGACCCTCGCCTGCCCCTCACGTCGGGTGGTCTGCCAAATTCTGAATGAAGCTGACCTGTCTAACTCTACTTACCAAAACCTGACCTTTGATGCAAGCATTACCTCAAACAAGACCAATTACGAGTTTCTTATTGGCCTGGCACTCGCTGTTTTTTCAAGCGTCCTGATTGGCAGCAGCGTCATTCTGAAGAAAAAGGGGCTCTTACATCTATCTGCGCAGGGCAGGACACGGGCAGGTAGGAAAACCACATGCTAATAGTTTTTCTTTTGTTGCAAGGCTGGGCTGCAATGATGTGGATCATGACCTCTCTTTATATTTTGGTGCCCCATCACCACAGATCTTTGTGACCATACGATTGCATGAGTATATTAAAAAAAGAGGTCCACCTGCGCTGCTATGTACAGCTAAACATAAGAGCCAATGGCATCCAAACACATCCCCTTCAGATGAATACGATCAATAGTAAATAATTGATGCAGCGCTAGAGAATTATAATCAGTAGGATCAAATATAACCTTAATACAAGCAAATAAAAATAAAAAAACCAAACAATCTACTGTAGGGAATCACTTAGTGCAATACATGCAGAAAAAAGTTCGATGGAACCTAAACAAAGTGATTTAGAATATATATTCCCTTCAGGGAATTAAACATTTAGTGTTTCCCTAAATAGGGACAATAATAATCATACAGGTGACGTGTGCAAACAGACCTTATTAAAACATAGATCCAACAAAATAAATAAAATGTCCATCAATACAATTACAATTGTAATTACATCAATTACAACAAGCAAGTTAAACACTGAACTGGATTTTACAAATGGATACAGATCAATGTTATAGCCACCATTAGAGTTGAGGTGTAAAGTCAGGACATCTCCATCCACAAATGTTGGACATTTCTGGAAGATCAGATCTGTATTTTCAGGTTCTTTAGTTCCTTCTTGCTGGTCCTTGAAGGAGTTTTTGAAAATGATGGGAGGTGGTATTCCTGATCAGGTGACCACTACATGGTTCTCGTCTCCATCCTAGAAATATTCCAGTTGATTGTCCTTTTTTCTTATCCGGCTGGAAAGACCCCAATTTCGGTCCCTCCCCTGTACCAGGCAGAGGAACGATGACTCGAGCGTGGATATAAGTGTCTTCTCCAGTGTTCACCTTGAAAAAGTAATTTTGTTCCAGCAACAACCTGAGTACTGACGAGGATCACCTTAAATTCCTCAGGGTTTGTCCCGGACTTTTGCTCATACTGTTCTTCCACCCCATCAAGGATGGCCTGATCTTCTGTAGTAGGTTCCCTGGGCTCACTCATTCCCCCAATTAATGCTTGTGCAGTCTCACTCATCTTTGTAAAGTTCTCAGTAGACTCCCACAACACTCTTTGGATCCCCCGGATCCTGCTAGTAATCACTGGGTAAGGTCAGGCTTTGCAATCCTTATCAGTACCTCCTTCTCTCTCTCTTTTATGCCTCCCATAGATTATCTACTGTGGATGGAGGCATAAAAGAGAGAGAGAAGGAGGTACTGATAAGGATTGCGAAGCCTGACCTTACCCAGTGATTACTAGCAGGATCCGGGGGATGCAAAAAGTGTCGTGGCCCCTTTGGGGTCGCAGTGGGAAGGTGATTGCGCATGCCTGCCATTTTTGGATATTACTGCACCTATCACCAAACGCATGATCACGTTTGAAAATTGCATGATTGATGTGATTTTACAGCAAATTGAATTATTGACGGACATTTTATTATTTTGTTGGATCTATGTTTTAATAAGGTCTGTTTGCACACGTCACCTGTATGATTATTATTGTCCCTATTTAGGGAAACACTAAATGTTTAATTCCCTGAAGGGAATATATATTCTAAATCACTTTGTTTAGGTTCCATTGAACTTTTTTTTCTGCATGTATTGCACGAAGTGATTCACTACAGTAGATTCTGTTTTGTTTTTTATTTATTTGCTTGTATTAAGGTTATATTTGATCCTACTGATTAAAATGCTCTAGCGCTGCATCAATAATTAAAATCTTCATGTAACTTAATGCCACTTCCATATATGATGCTCAAAAAAACAGTAAAACACTTTTTAATCAGCGCATAGCATCAAGTCAGTTAAACTCCTGGGATATTGATCTGGTCAGTTAAGTAGCAGAGGGGGTTGTAAATCAGTTTCAGCTGCTTTTGTGTTAATGAAATGAACAGGTGCACTAAATGGGCAACATTGAGACGACCCCCAAAACAGGAATGGTTTTACAGGTGGAGGCCACTGACATTTTTTTCCCTACTCTTTTCCGACAGTTTTTTTTCACTAGTTTTGCATTTGGCTAGGGTCAGCCTCATTACTGGTAGCATGAGGCTATACCTGGATCCTACAGAGGTTGCACAGGCAGTCCAACTCTTCCAGAATGGCACATCAAAATGTGCCATTGCCAGAAGGTTTGCGGTGTCTCCCAGCACAGTCTCAAGAGCTTGCAGGAGATTCCAGGAGGCACTACTCTAGGAGAGCTGGACAAAGCCATAGAAGGTCCTTAACCCATCAGCAGGACCGGTATCTGCTCCTTTGTGCAAGGAGGAACAGGATGAGCACTGCCAGAGCCCTACAAAATTACCTCCAGCAGGCCACTGGTGTGTCTCTGATCAAACAATCAGAAACTGACTTCATGAGGGTGGCCGGAGGTCCCGACATCCTCTAATGGCGCTTGTGCTCACTGCCCGGCACTATGGAGCTCAATTTGGCATTTGCCATTGAACACCAGAATTGGCATGTCTGCCACTGGCGCCCTGTGCTTTTCACAGATGAGAGCAGGTTCACCCTGAGCACATGTGAAAGGGTCTGGAGAAGCCGTGGAGAACATTGTTTCCTGTAACATTGTTCATCATGACCTTTTTGGTGATGAGTCAATGATGGCCTGGGGAGGCATATCCATGGAGGGACGTACAGACCTCTACAGGCTAGACAATGGCATTGCCACTGGATGCCATTCGGTATCATGATGAAATCCTTGGACCCATTGTCAGACCCTAAGCTGGTGCAGTGGGTCCTGGGTTCCTCCTGGTGCACGACAATGCCTGGCCTCCTATTGGGAAAGTAAGCAGGCAGTTCCCAGAGGATGAAGGAATTGATACAATTGAATGGCCCCCACGCTCGTCTGACCTAAATCCAATAAAACACCTCTGGGATATCATCCGACACCGCCAGGTTGCATCTCAGACTGTCCAGGAGCTCAGTGATACCCTGGTCCAGATCTGGGAGGAAATACTCCAGGACACCATCCTTCATCTCATTAGACGTTGTCAGGCATGCATACAAGCACGTGGGGGCCATACAAACTACTGAGTACCATTTTGAGTTGCCTCAATGAAATTTCAGCAAAAATGGACTAGCCTGCTGCATCATTTTTTCACTTTGATTTTTGGGGTGTATTTGAATTCAGTCCTCTGTAGGTTGATATTTTTCATTTCCAGTCATCCTTGCGTTTATAACATATTACCCAGTCCATATCACTAAAGCTATCCAGACTGATATTTTCCCCATTGTGTTCTAATGTGTTTTCAAAGTGTTCTTTTTTTTTTTTTTTTTTTATGTAACCTGTACTAGCTGTACAACTCAGTTGAACAACAAACTGAAATCTTTTTAGGTGGAGGAAAGTAAAAAGAAAAAACTAAACTATTATGGTTGCATAAGTGTGCACCCTTAAACTAACACCGTATTTTCCAGCGTATAAGACGACCCCCTACTTTTCCTGCTAAAATGTAGTGTTTGGGCTATACTCGCCGTATAAGACTACCCCTCTTCCAATGCACACCAGTGGGAGGAGTAGTGCCCCATCATTGGTGTCAGTGGAGGAATAGCGCCCCATCGTTGGTGTCAGTGGGAGGAATAGCGCCCCATCGTTGGTGTCAGTGGGAGGAATAGCGCCCCATCGTTGGTGTCAGTGGGAGGAATAGCGCCCCATCGTTGGTGTCAGTGGGAGGAATAGCGCCCCATCGTTGGTGTCAGTGGGAGGAATAGCGCCCCATCGTTGGTGTCAGTGGGAGGAATAGCGCCCCATCGTTGGTGTCAGTGGGAGGAATAGCGCCCCATCGTTGGTGTCAGTGGGAGGAATAGCGCCCCATCGTTGGTGTCAGTGGGAGGAATAGCGCCCCATCGTTGGTGTCAGTGGGAGGAATAGCGCCCCATCGTTGGTGTCAGTGGGAGGAATAGCGCCCCATCGTTGGTGTCAGTGGGAGGAATAGCGCCCCATCGTTGGTGTCAGTGGGAGGAATAGCGCCCCATCGTTGGTGTCAGTGGGAGGAATAGCGCCCCATCGTTGGTGTCAGTGGGAGGAATAGCGCCCCATCGTTGGTGTCAGTGGGAGGAATAGCGCCCCATCGTTGGTGTCAGTGGGGGGGGGGGGGAATAGCGCCCCATTGTTGGTGTCAGTGACACCAATGATGGGGCACTGTTCCTCCCACTGACACCAATTACACTTGCTGACCCCTGTTCTCGTATGGTGGTGCTGCTGCAGCCAGCATATGTGATTGCAGCAGCACCTCTACACTGCACACTTACCTGCCGCTTCTTCACTCGATTTTCGCGGGGCTGCTCGGCTCCACCCCCTCGCTGGTGATTGGCTGCCTGTGTGCCTTTCCTGAGCTACAGTTCTGGCGGCCAATCACCGGTGAGGAGGCGGAGCCGAGCAGCTGCACGAACATCCAGTGGCCGAACTGAAGGAGCAGCCGTGCTTCCTGGACCGGATCGTCGTGGGATCGGAGCCAGGTAAGAAACAGCAGTCCCTGCTCACCCCTGTACTTAGTGTCCCTTCCGTTGGAAAGGGGTGCCGCCGCCCCCCCCTAAAAAGTGTCAGTATGCCGTATACCGGCGTATAAGACGACCCCCGACTTTTGAGAAGATTTTCAAGGGGTAAAAAGTCATCTTATACGCTGGAAAATACAGTACTTTTGTTGAAGCATCTTTTGATTTTATTCCAGCACTCAGTCTTTTTGGGTATAGGTCTATCAGCATGGCACATCTTGACTTGGCAATATTTGCCCACTCTCTCTTTCACTCCAAATCTGTCAGGTTATGTTGATCGGATTCAGGTCTGGGCTCTGGCTGGGCCATTTCAAAACTTTTAATCTTCTTCTGCTGAAGTCATTCCTTTGTTGATTTGGATGTATGCTTTGGGTCGTTGTCATGCTGAAAGATGAAGTTCCTCTTTACGTTCAGCTTTGTAGCAGAAGCCTGAAGGTTTTGTGCCAATATTGACTGGTATTTGGAACTGTTCATAATGCGCTCTACCTTGAGTAAGGCCCCAGTTCCAGCTGAAGAAAAACCACTCTTTAGCATGATGTTGCCACCACCATGCTTCACTGTGGGTATGGTGTTCTTTTGGTGATGTGCAGTGTTGTTTTTGCATCAAACATATCTTTTGGAATTATGGCCAAAAAGTTCACCGTTGATTTCATCAGACCATAATATATTTTCCCACATGCATTTGGGAGACTTCAGGTGTGTTTTCTTTGCAAAATTTAGCCGGGCTTGGATATTTTTCTTAAGAAAAGGCTTCCTTCTTGCCACTCTACCCCATAGCCCAGACATATGAAGAATATGGGAGATGATTGTCACATGTACCACACAGCCAGTGCTTAATCCCAAGATGGAAAATGATGTACAAGCAGTCTTGAAGGTTTGTCACATTGCTTTTTATCTATTTTTAGGTGCTGGTGGACATGGGTACCTGAAGGACTGGCTGTGGTGGGCTGGACTTTTAACAAGTAAGTGTAAATTTTTTTTTTTTTTTTTTTTTTCCCCCTATTCTCCAATCAGGCGTGCAAGATTTGATCAAAACAGCTGTCGGCTAGTATATGGTTAAGTTTAACATCTAAATCTTATCATACAGCTGTGAAACACTGGGGGTTATTTACTAAAACTGCAGGGTACAAAATCTGATGCAGCTCTGCATAGAAACCAATCGGCTTTCAGGTTTTATTGCCAAAGCTTAATTGAACAGGCTGAAGTTAGACACTATTTGGCTACCATGAATAATTGCACAAGATTCTGAGTGCTTCATTTTTTTTTTTTTTTTCTTAATAAATCTCCCTCAGTGTGTAAGAAAAACATATTTGGCCATAGAAAACTCTCTAACCAACAAAGACAGTGGTTTGCAAGAGTGAAATACCTCAAACATGTAAAAATGTTACTCTGAGATAAAATCGCAGAGCATTATGTATACTTGGTTCCAGGGGCGGACTGACAACTCATGGGGCCCCCCCGGCAATAGGGGATCATGGGGCCCCTGTGTCCTTGCCCAAACTCGAAGCCTATGAAAAAGGTACCAGGGTCATCTCATGGGGCCCCCTACTGACCCCAGGCCCTCGGGCAGTGCCAGAGTTTTTCCAAATGGTCAGTCCGCCCCTGCTTGGTTCTACTCTTAACAGACCAGGAAGTATTTTGCCAATATAAAAATATTCAACAGTTCCAACTTTTAGCATTTTCTGATATTTTACCCATTTACAAATCGCTTAAGCCTCGTGATTACCTCCCAGCCCTGTGTGATGGATAGATAGATAGATAGATGTATATGTGTGTATGTATTTTTGTTTTTTGTTTTTTTTTGTTTTGTTTTGTTGTGTTTTTTTTTTTTTCTTCTAAGCTCTTTCCTTCCATTCCGAACAGGTCTTCCTCCCCCTCCCTAACCAACCAATCTACTTTCCCTTCGCTCTCCTAAAGAAAATAAAACTGTAATATTCCTGCCACTCCAGCATTCTTTTGTTGGTCGTTTTGATCTCACTTGAATGTTATCACTTAGCAATAATGTTTACTATGCTTTGCTACTTGTCACATGCTAAAGGTATGTCCCTTTTTTTAATAGTGTATGAGGCAAAAAAATATTTTGACCACTGCTCCTTTGTCTTATTCAATGGAATGCGTGTACTTGGTAGACCTTCTAAATAAAGGATTAAAAAAATAAATAAATTTCATAGTACTACTAGCTTTGAAGAAGGGGACAAACCTCAAAATCTTGTCCAGGAAAATTAGATGTTAAGTACAACAGACAGTACTCAATGGCTTTTGTTGCAAGAGCACTAATTTGGCTACAGTTACCTCAAGCACGATGGAAAAATGTTTACCCTAAAAATGAAAAACAAAATTAAAGCTAATGTGATGGGCTATTTCAAACATATGTGGATACGTGGTATCACCTGAAGGTGATTATTAGTGATAAAATTAGTTCAATATGATTGTGTGGATCATAAAGAGATCACAATTCCAGGTGAGTGGACGTCCTGATCCGGGAGTGACAACTGGTGCAAACCAAACGAATGGATGAAAAACGCACTGTGCGTTTAAAATACGCAACAATTAATCCTGCGTCACCAGGCCATAGATAGGTCATCAGGTTTCACCATCAGGGTCATCTTCCTAATAGTTATAACTGATTATCTCTCCACTTATGCCAATCAGTTATAACCATTAGGAAGATGACCCTGATGGTGATACCTGGTAGTGGATCCTGGTGACCTTTTTCTGTGGAGCTTGGATGGTGATTCGTGGGGTAACCTGACCCGAGACCTGATGACCTATCTATGGCCTGGTGACGCAGGATTAATTATTGCGTATTTTAAACGCACATCTGGTGAGTGCGTTTTTTTTTTTCTTCATCCATTCGTTTGGTTTGCACCAGTTGTCACTCCCGGATCAGGACGTCCACTCACCTGGAATTGTGATCTCTTTATGATCCACACAATCATATTGAACTAATTTTATCACTAATCACCTTCAGGTGATACCACATATCCACATATGTTTTGAAATAGCATGATATTGTGTATATTAATGTGTATTACTATTTAGCTCTGCACCAACTTTATTCGGATATATATGTATTACTGGAGGTTTTTCTTGGTTGTCTTTTTTGGTGTATCAGCAGCTCATTAACATAATTTGTTTGTGTGTGTGTATATGTGTGTATATATATATATATATATATATATATATATATATATATATATATATATATATATATATATATATATATATATATATATATATATATATATATATATATATATATATATATATATATATATACTTTCATTTCATTCTAAGGTAGCACTCACTAATATCCTTTTACTATAATGTGATGGGCTACCACAGTGGCAACTTCTTCCTTCCTTTTTTTTTTTTTTTTTTTTTTTTTTTTTCCCCCCCTTTTTGTTGCATAAGAAAAATTTAACTATTCAACAGGTGGTTCATGTACCTCTTACATCGGCAATGTTGCCTTCCCCTAGTGATCATGTCTGGTACTGCTACAGGTGTATTGCATTTTGTATCCTAAAGTTCTGTTCACTTAGTTACTTATAACAATAATCTTCTCCTTCTTTTTTTTTTTTTTTTTTTTTTTTGCAGTGGGAGGTGGAGAAGTTGCCAATTTCGCTGCTTATGCCTTTGCACCAGCGACCATTGTTACACCACTGGGGGCCCTCAGTGTGCTGATCAGGTAATGGCCTTTCATAAGGCAAAGGCTTGCTACTAACTAGATTATGTGACCACATAATTTAATGTTAATGTCATTTTTTTTTTTTACTTTTTTTTTTTTTTTTTTTCAGTGCTGTTATGTCATCTTATTTGCTGGGTGAGCGCTTGAACCTCTTGGGAAAGTTGGGGTGTGCACTCAGTGTGTTGGGGAGCACTGTACTGGTGATCCACTCCCCAGAAGAACAAGAGGTTACCACGCTAGAAAATATGACCTTCAAGCTTAAGGATCCAGGTAGGAGGGCCATAAATCTACTTCCACACTCTAGTCCAGCAATAATTTCCTTGCTGCTAGATATACAGGATATAATCAGATATTTGGTCTAATGTTTTTCTTGCTTTTAAATTCAGTTTCTTCTTACTTTACAGGTTTCATCGTGTACATCAGTATTCTCTTCATCTGTTGCCTGGTCCTCATCTTCTTTCTCTCACCTCGGTTTGGCCACACAAACATTCTAGTCTATTTAGCAGTATGCTCCCTGTTAGGCGCTTTCTCTGTGTCTTCTGTAAAAGGTCTAGGAATAGCTGTGAAAGGACTTCTTACAGGCCTGCCAGTCTACCAGCATCCTTTGCCATGGATACTCATTCCTATTCTCATCATTTCAGTTGTCACCCAGGTGAACTACCTCAACAAATCTTTGGACACCTTCAATACATCCCTGGTCTTTCCAATCTACTATGTCTTATTCACTACAGTGGTCATCACCACGTCGTTAATTTTGTTCAAGGAATGGGTGTCCATGTCACCATTTGATGGTGTGGGTGCAGTGTGCGGCTTTCTCATCATAATCTTGGGCGTCTTCATGCTCCATGCTTTCAATAACCTGGACATTAGCTTGAAGAGCCTTCAGCAACAGTTACAAACCTTTGCACCTGTCAAAGAAGAAACTATGAAAGAAGACACAATCACTACAACCACCAAACGGGAAACTAAAAAAGAAGACAAGATCACTTTAATAGACAACATGGAGACTGAGAACAGTGGTGGTATTCCCAAAGTGTTTGTTATTTACACTTAGACTGGATCTATGCACTTTTCCTCCACTGAGTAGTTTGGTCCTAATGCTTTTGTATACACGACAGTCACTCAGCAGGCCACAAAACACGGTGGGTTAGTAAAGCCCATGCTTTCAAGGAAATGTGTGACCTTTGGCCAGGTCGGATCACTTTGTTTTATAGACTTCTGATGTTTTGTTCCCATCCTGTATAACTCCATATAACCCGGTAGTAACTCATAGCAACCAGCCAGAATTCAAGAGTTTACGGATCTAATGTGAATTAAATTTGGTTGCTGTTGGTTACTATACTTTGTAGAGGCTTTAGGTTGCATGTCAAACAAAAGTGTGTAGGTCCTTCAATTTTGGAGGGGCCTTTCCTGATATGACATGGATATGAGTCTTAATGATGACCATTGATCAGGAACATGCAGAATTTTAGAGAACGTTTGCATTTCCCTTTTTGTCCACTGAAGATAGGTCTCCACTGAAAAATAGAATTAAACCAATGACCTTCAGTGTGACATGTATGAAGATATAAGGAAGGATCACAAAACAAAATTGGGTTGAGCAGCTTTTGTCCGAACATGTGTGAATAAAGGTGACAATTTGGATGTGGCTCCAGTTGAAGTAGAACGCCTACCAAAACCCTTTTTAATCAGAAATGTTGATGGCGAGGAAGGGTTAGACATTTTGCCAGGGTTTTTACTGCTATGTCCCTGTTGGGAAGAGATTCCTCTCGTTATCTGTCACAGTGACTATTTGTGACAGCCAAGCAATGAGGAATCCTAAATGTTGTCCCCCAGAACAGGAGTAGAGGGGACATTTTCCATTAGTGACATTTGTCTTTTTGGGGAGATTTTCACATATCTGGGAAAGAAACGTAAGTAAATCTTCCCAATGGGGAAACCGGCAGCAATAAATATTGACAGAGTTTTCTCACACTTTCAGAAATGTATAATCTCAAGTTCATCAGTACTTTTTGAATCCAAGGTCTAATTCTTTAGTGTCCATCTGATTCTATAGTGTTCCTCTAATCCTGTATTGTGACCATATTTTCACTTGGACCCTGCTATTGTATCTTGATTTGGTTGAGCTAGCAACCCTGTCCTGTGTGGGTTTTTTTTTTTTTTTTTTCGCCAGGAAAAATTGAGGTAAAAAAACATGTTATATTATCACTGAGAGGAATAAAGGGGGAGAAGAAATGCTCCAACGAGGAAACTTGTTGCTATGACCACAATCCATAAGAGGGGGGGGACCTGAGAGGAATGTTAACCATTCCCTACTCTATTCAGTGCTTCAACAAATGTTTTGGCTTTAAGCATGTATGGGGTTGATTTACTAAAGGCAAATAGACTGTGCAGTTGCTCCAGAGCTTATTAAATAAGGTAATGCTTCAGTTTGCATGTGATTGGGTATTCTTTGCAAGGAAAAAAAAAAATACAGCATTTCTGCTTGCACATGATTGGATGATGGAAGTCAGCAAAGCTTCCCCTCATCTACTAAGCTCTGGAGCAACTGCACTTGCAAAGTGCACAGTCTGTTTGCCTTTAGTAACTCAACCCGTGTGTGTATTGTGCATACATGAGTGGGAATGGTCACCTCAAATGAAGGGGGCTCTCAGTCAATTGGCATGTATAGTGTCTGGGAGAAAAACCAAGTCCCTCAGTAATGAAAGTTGTTCTTTTAAGGGACAACAGGTATCTGACTACAGTATAGGGAAATTGCTTTTTGATTTAATGTATACTAGTTTTTTTTCATTGAACATGCTTCTGCCTGAGTCTCATTTAAAATGTACATATATTTTAATATGCCAATTTTGTAAAATGTATTTTAAAGTAGCCTTTTTATATTAAGTTTATAAAAGCTCTTTCACATTCATTTGTGTGGTGAATCTGTAGTACATTGCTGCATGCCTGTGCCCTAGCAGATCATATTTTATGTTGGCTGAAGGAAATTGCTTAACACTTGGTTTAAATGTCTAGAACTCTGCCTTAGCTAAAAGTATAACTAAAAAAAGGTACAAACCCTCTTCTTCCCTTTTTTTTTTTTTTTTTTTTTTTTTGTCTTGCTTACCATTCTCATTAAATGTTAAAGTAAAAAAAAAAAAATATTGGGTTGTCCCCAGAAAAGTAATAGAGGGGAAACCTGCCACTGCAGGGATTTCCTGTTTGGCTATTGGCCGTGAAGTGAAATCTCCACAATGGGGAACAGCTGGCAAAAACAAGTCTGATGGGTTAGTTATAGCCCTCCTTTGGTCTATCCAAAATATATAAAAAATGTTTGCCTGTAGTTCTCTTTTAAGCTATTTAGTATAACTGCAAAATATGTAGCTATTGGTGTTTAGACAGCAGAGTTATTCACTATAACACTCAAATATTTTTATCTTGTTAATGTCACAATCTCTATGGTGTTTTACAGTATGTTCTGCTGATATAGGCAAGTGTTTCATGCAGTAAAACTACTGGATGCATTCTACCAAAGACACCCCATGAAGACAAAAATGTGGAAATGGCATTGATTGATTTGTACTGTACTACTAATACATAAGTCAATGTCCTGGAGTAAGCATGAAGTCTAAGTGGTTGCATGCTTATTCTTTAGAAGTTTTTTTATTATTATTATTATTATTATAAAATGCACTTCTTTTTTATGAACAGCTGATATCTTGCTACACAGGAGAGATTCACATAAAGGAACTGGTATCTGCTACATATTTTGTGACCTAATAAACACCCTTTCCTTGATTGCTAATAAAAATTGGCATCAAGCACTTTGTCCCTCTGTCCACATTGAAGCCTATTAAAATACTACTGGGGGCCCATTTCAACTTCATGCTTGATTGACTGTTAGTTACCCATGTAAAGGATCAGCAGCAGGGGTAGTGTGGTATTGGAGTATAGGCACCGTATACATTACTACCTCTACTAGAACATATGCAGGAGGAACACTATTCAAGATACATGGACACTGATAATCCATAGCCATTTCTCATGCCGACCTAGCACAATGTCTACTGTGCCCAACTTGGGTTAAAAATTAAAAGGAAGAGGAGCAGGCCATACTATGGGTGTGGATGTGCTCAGCTAGGACCTCACAATGGTGAAGTGCAAATATTCTGTGTACAGTTCAATCCTTTGGCAAATACTTGCCATCCCCACCACCTTTTACTGCCACTTAGGGTTTATTAGAACTCCATTAAATTCCAGCCATGCGAAAGTACAGCTAGTGTTATGTGGTGAATATCTGTACTAAAGTGAAAAAAAAAAACCTAAATTTACCTCAACCCTAGAACTTTGTATTCACACAGCTACTCATTCATGTGTTGCGAGTGGTTTTGCAAACCCTCTGTTGTGTAATGTACCTTTTCCCAGCTTCATCCATGAATATCAAATTCAAATGTCCAAGGCATGTGTGTAACTGGACAGCAAAGAAAAAAAAAAAAAAACTTGATCCTGAAAAATTAGGCTTTTATATAAGAAAAAAGGAATCTGGTAGTATGTGTTTAAAAATTCTTCTGACTTACAAAAAAGTAAGCAATAGAGTTCCGTGGCCTGATTGACTACACCGATTTTAAAAAAAAAAAAAACAAACAAAAAAAAAACCTGTTTCTGCACAGACAGGCTATATATAGTGCGTCATTTTAAAACCCATATCTAGTTTAACAAATTACCCACCCACACCTTCTCCCTGCACCCATTAAAAAAAAAAAAAAAAAAAAAAAAAAACAAAATTTCCATACACCTTAGCTCCAGTGTTCTGGCTGGGCAACTTCTATCACTGGTCTTTCCGGTTGTTGTCCAGTGCTGGGTCTTACTGTTTGCACTTATTGTGCAGTGTACAATGGTCACATAATGCATGACTGTCAGGCAGTGTGTTTTGAAGACACTGGACATCATTTAACCTGGAAGAGCAATACTATGTAGCAGAGAAGTGGCCTTTTTGCAAGGGGTAGTGCTAGATTGGAGTGTGTGTGTGTGTGTGTGTGTGTGTGTGTGTATATATATATATATATATATATACACACGCACAGAGTATATCAGGCGGGAATTTTTTTTTTATTGCACCAAAAAAAAGGCAACAGTCCAAACCTATAACCAGCCTTAGAAGTAAGGTACACATGGAAGGGTTAAGCATATTGCAAACAAAGGATTTACCAGCATCACTTGCCAGTCAGTAAAACAACCAATTTGGCCGTTTTGTAGGCTTGCTGGTAAGTGCTGCTGGGAAATCCTTTGCAATGTGCATTGTCCTTCCCTGTGCCATTTACTGCTTTGGCTGGTTATAAGTTGGGACAGTTACAATTTTTTTTTTTTTCTGCAGTTGGCTAAATTGGACACGGGCACACTGGATGCCTTTGCTGTCATTTTGTTATAGCTGGGCCTCATGTATATCCCTGTACCTTTTTTGAGGGAGGGGCTCCTCCAAGCACACCTGCCCTTAACCTATCCATTAATATATGTGTGCCTATGTTGGCTCTGGAAATTTTAGTTAGGTTCACAGTATACACAGAACCCTTGACAGGGGACTGTGGCTTGTGCATGTATTTGGAAATGTGTGCTAACAAAATCCCAAATTTTTTTTTTAGTGTGTTTCAATTGCCATCGTTCGCTACCCCCTCAATTTGTCCCTACCCCACCAGGATATTTGCTATGTGTGCCTGTAATCTTCTTTTATTCCAATAAATACTTTGTTTAGACAAAGTACAAAATTTTCAATTACATGAACTAAGATTGTTGCATGAAAGAAGTAACCCCAACCATAAAGCAGAGGCTAGGAGGTATGGAGCGGGCGGCAGAATAAAGATCCTAGAGAAGTGGGAATAGTCAAGTATAAGACTGGAAAGAACATCTGGAGGTGGTGATTTGGAATGCAGTAAGTGCACACTTTAATTTTCAACTTTGACTGGAGCATACTTGTAAAGCCTTAACTGGTTCCCTATGCCTTCATATTACTGCACATTAGGCCTCTACCAGCCACACAAGCATCTTTTTTTTTTTTTTTTTTTCTTCTTCCAATTTAAGGTGATACAACCATGACAAAAGGGGTCAGCAAATGAAACCATGATGTGTAGCAGGGGGACCCTGGAATCCAACAATTTTGAAGGGCTGAGTGTTGAATACACAGACGGAGGCTACAGGACTGGAGTTAAGGATACAAAAGGCATGGGCCACTGAGGGTGAAGGTGGGTAACAGTGCATCCTGCAGGGCATATTTGTTTAGATTTGTGCATACCTCAACAACAAACACAGACATGGCTAAAAAAAAAAAGTTTTTATTTTCAAAGTTCCAATAAATTAAGAGAGGGAACACACAGTCCATTTTTTTTCTTTGGTTCATACATCCCAATGGTGTCACTTATTATGCAAGAAGCAGAACAGGCCGAAACTGCTTTTGTCAGCTTTCACCAGAAAATATATCTGGGTTCTCTTCCCAAAATGTGTCACTGATGATATCACAATGCAGAATGGCAAACTGGTTCCGTGAGCGGGATACCTCCACTTCAATCTCTTCTTCACCTTTTAGCTTTATTACCTTCGTGCTGATTTCATTTACCTATACAAGAGGTACAGGATCAGAATAAAAATGCACAATAGTATTCATTGTCATTCATCTCAATTGAAGCACATGGAAACATGCAATTCTAATTAGATAAGTAAACAAGTACTTAAAGAAGAACTGGACTTTTATTACGGTTGTCCTTAGTACAGCCAGACACTATCCACAAAGTATTACAATTTAACAATTATTCCACTGAGATTTGTGTTGGGTCGGCAGTGCATAGTGCAACCTCCTCTTCAAAAGTCTCCAAGCTATACTCTGCTCTTATACATTTGTACCACAATCTGTATTCATTCCTAAAGGCCATGCGCACTCTTTAAGAGTGCAAATGTAGGCAACCTTTTTCTTCGGAATGAATGGAGAATGCAGCAGAGCATGGGGAAATTTTTGACAAGGCTGTGCACCACCCATTATGGCTGTTCAGTTTATGACTCTTGTGGAGGATCTTTTGTCTTCAATTCTAAGCTCAATGTTTCATCTACTTTTACCATTTCATAAGCTGCATGAAAGATATCTTATTACCTTCTTCTTTAGGATGACTGATCCTTTCCTGTACATTAAAGGCTCATTATTGTAGTTGATGTTAAACTCTGAAAATAATATTTCATTCTTATCGGCAGCAAGTGTTCCCTGTAGGGGGGGGAGAGGGAAATACAGCAGATTTGTAAGTACGTAAAATAGCCATTGAGCAGAACACAGGAACATTGATTATAAAGCATGAGCCCAAAAGGGCCCATTCACAGTATTTTAATCTGTTGCATAACATGCTTGTTTACCTCCTTGGCGCTGGCGGTACGCAAATATGTGGACTCTCGGGGGCTGGGCCTTGAGGCTCCATATTTGCATACCAGATGTAAACAAACAGTTACTGGCACCTCACAGAAAGCTCCCGATCACTACTTGAGATCAGGAGCTTTCCGAACATATGACCGCTGTGACAACTGATCACGGCAGTTACATGACCCTAAATCCACCCCCCGACATCAGAAACCCCTTAAAGGGTTTAAATATAGTATTTTGTGCAATAATGAGTGTTGAGGCAGCCCCTTCGTTATGAAGGGATTGTCAATGCACCACAACAAACAAAAGAACATGCACCGTAATGCATTGGATGTGCATTGTAGTACACTGTGAGATGGGAGTGTTGCCAGTCACTGTACCTAAATGGTACCACGACTTTGTGTGAATGAATTTTTTTTTTTTTTTACCACAACACATAGCTGTGAAGCTAGCCCTAACTAATATATTTTTATCACCTTTTACAGAGATCACAGTACTCCCCCCTGACAATGTCTTCATCTGCTTTTCTCTCTAGAAGAATTGAACCATTATCCAAGGTCAAAATCTAACTCCTGGACTGAGATGCTGCCTCAGACATGACACAATCCTGGTGCCTGTGCAGTTCTTGGCTGTGTTTACCAATTGCTGACATAGATCAGTCCCTGCAACTGCCTTTCACCTTGTGACTTGCTAAATTAATTCTGCATATCCTCAAGGAGAATTCACTAACTGGTGTTGGCAGAGAAAAGCTGTATATAAATGTGCCCTCCAGTGGATATCCTTCAGAATAAACTGAGAAGTCAAATTTCTGACCACCAGAGGATGGCATGCTTTAATAACTGAAAGAGGGATCCCTGTCATAATGGACTTGTCTCTAATAAAACACAATATGCAAAAACCCCCCCAAAGCATATAGCTTCCAACAGTGGACTGGTGATATTGAAGATACCATTTAAGTCTCTTGCTGATTTCTGTATAGTTCCAATGGATCCTTCTGATCACTATGCGGAGATGGGGGACCTGAAGAATCACTTGGCTAGATACAATCTCAGCTTTGCAAACTTTTCTGAGGGTCATGATGCTGAGGTGTTTTGTAAACTCGACTTAAGGTCAAGGTGGTGGCTAATGTCTTGTTTCCTTTATTAACCACAGAGAGTGCATTGCGTTCCTATGCATCCTCTCCCTCCAGGGGCTGCGCTTAGACATGTCCAGCCAGGATTCTGTCTTAAAGGATATCTTGCAAGCTACTAGAACTCTCAATTGAGATTAAAAAAAAAAAAAAACATAATAGCAATCAACTGTTAGCATGACATTTTATGACTGCTCTAGAGTATGACTACAGCCTGTCAAACAAATGATTCTGTGCATCCACTCTAAGGAATTTTGCGAGATTGTTCTTCTCTGACCTGAAAGTATCAGTAGTGCTGAAAAACAGTGATCTGACTTACCTGTAGTCGTTTTTGAGCCTGCGCGGGAGTCAAACCTCCCCTCTGGACCAGCATCCAGAACACAGTGTTGTACAGATTATTGATGTGGCCTGCAGAATAACAAGTACAACAAAGCATATGTTACCATAGGACACAAGTTTGCTGTCTAATGTCTATAAGTACTCTAAAAGCTAAATATAAAGATAAAAGCATTTATATTTCACCTGCTTTACTAGCATAAGGATGCAAAATTCTGTTCAGTTTTATGACCCAAACACCCCTGCCAGACAGGACAACTAGGTACTGGACCAAAACCAATCCCAGTCCATGAACAAATACTAAAGTAGCAGCATAATGACGATGATATTATGCCTGCTCTAAGCATGTTCTTGATTGCTAACAAAGGTACACAATCCCTGGTTAGTTCAGAGCCAGTCTGAGTGTTTCTGTATATGGATTCCAGGAAGTATATATAAAGACATATTTAGGTACTTTAAATGTATTTTTTATAGAAATAAAATGGAACTCCAGCAATTGTTTCCGATTTGAATAAGAATCTGAGCCCATTTTTATTGAGATCTGTGCACAAATAGGAGATTTCCATTCACTTCATATCCATAGAAATTGCTCACACAAAAGATAGAAGTGTAAATATTTTTTTTTTTCTTAAATAAGAGGAAAGAATCCCAAATGTGCTACAGACAATAATAATGTGAGATCTGATCCCTTCCAAACTCTGCCCATGAAGCACACAGAAGAAAAATATTTTTCCCCAAACAAAATGTTCTGAGCCACTGAAATATAATCATGAATAACCTTTTTGTTAAACGTTATATAAAAAAAATAAGATAAAAACTACTCAAAATTCCCTAGCCCCCCAAAAACACTTAAATCAAAACCCATAACAGAGACCAAAACCAGTCTGCTGATGAGCCATGTAATCAGTTGCTCAGAGGACTCCGCATGGTCGCTAGCTGAGCTGACCCGGGTTAGATAGTATGCAACTGCAAGTAAACATTAGCCAATGAAGACAACAGAGCAAGTGACATTACACTGAAGATGGACAGGTCTTGGTTCCTATTGCAGAGTTTGATTTGAAATGGTTTTATTGGAGGTATGAGATCTGTGATCCATATATGTTATCTGTAACCAGGGTTGCCAACCGGCAGTAAATTTATGGAGTTTGTAAAAATCAGTGATTTTTTTTGGCTGTATTCATTTTTTAATAGGAATTCTGTTGTTTTTCAGGTTGTCCATAAAATAGAAAAACAGTCAGTAAAATGTCCATGTTTTATCAGTAAAAAATGCTGCAGGAGGTTGGCAACACTGTCTGTAACTTTAAAGGAGTATTATCCTTATAATTTCAGTAGTGCAGAACATTGCTTTTTTTTTTTTTCATCTGCTTTATGTCATTTGACCTTTTTACGCACGCACGCACGCACACACACACACACACGCGCGGTTACTATATGCATTGGCCTCAGTAGTAATATCATGGACTCTATCAATGATACAAGCAACTCAGTTACCAGGTCCTCTCACCTGCAGATTTTTTTTAGCTATTCAGCATTGCACTACTTTAACTGGCAACTTCTCGGTCATGCAACACTGTACGAAAATTACATTTATTTATTTTTTTTCACAAAAATCCAGCTCTCGTTTGTTGGTGTTTGATCACCACTGGGTTTTTAATTTTTATGCTATATAAATGAAAAAAAAGCTGAAAATTTTGAAAAAATAATCTATATTTTTCTCATTTCTGTTATAAAACATATCAAATAAAATCTAATTTCTTCATAAATTTAGGCCAAAATGTATTATGCTACATGTTTTTGGTAAAAAAAAAAAAAAACAACTCATTAAATGTATATTAATTTGTTTACGTGAAAGTTATAGCGTCTACAAAACTGAGTTTTTTTGAAGTTGCAATTTTTTGGAAAATGAAAAGAAATGTTTCTCACAATATTGTCACCAGTGCAATACAGTGTCATCATATAACATGGTATGGCAGTAATCGGGGATACTGACTGGTGACAATATGTTAAAAAAAAATAAAAGTTTAAAAAATGTTTTAATGACTTTTTTTTAAACATTTTAATTTTCTTTTAACATATTTTTACCATTTTGTTTTTTTGTACATACTTTCATCAGAATAGTTCAGTCACCACAGTGGCACTATACCACTCTGGCGGGAGATCTGGTGGACACAGTGGTCTTGGGTGCAGAGTGCTGCACGGCACTAATCTGGAAGAGGCAGGATCATGTACATGTACGTGATCCTGCCTGGCCGCACCGCCTGGCTACTGTAAATGTCCTGTGGCTGGTCGGCAAGCAGTTAAGGTAAGGTGTTTTATTTTTTAGTTTTGTTTTTTTAATGCAAGCTTTTTAAGACCGCAGTCCAAAATTATTCCATGTGTACATACTTGCAAATCTGTGTTAGCTTTTGTTTTATCCAAACTTTATACACCATCTTGCAGAGTCTATTCCATGTATTTCCTCAGCATTAGTAGGAGATGATGCAGGCAGTACCGCAAATATGTTATTCCCTCACAGGGATGTCTCTGCAGCAACTACTTTTTTTTTTTGGCAGGATCTGGATGGCTAATGGGGCAGCTCTATACCCACTATTAACCTCTCTCAATTCTGCTCTTTTATCAAACGCTTTGTTACTTGTTTTATTAAATGCATCAAATAGGAAGGCAAAAAACTGGACAGAGTGCCACATTGTTCTGTGCAATGATGGCTTCTGCTTCTTATAGCAATATAGAAGAACAACACACTAATGCTGGCAACTAACTGTGCGACTGTTGGCCAGTTTGCTTCATGACTGGTCCCAGGCTTAAAATGACCGGGACGCACAGCGGGGGGTAAGCGGCGACCGCGCTACTACAGACCGTGGCTCGCCTCCCATTGTGCGGCAATGCCTAAAGCAGGGTCGACAGGAGGAGCAGCAGTGACGGCTCCAGATGACAAGCAGAAAGCGCCGCTGACACAGGGACACCTCCTCGGCTGGCCGCTGGGACAACGGCGGCCTCTCTTCTTCTCCCACTGGCACACTAACAGCTCTGTAGCAGCTGTGGATGGGGCTGTCTCTTTTCCCAGTTGGGTCCAGTAAAGAGACATCCCAATCCAGCAAAGAGACATCCCCGTCCAGCAAAATGACATCCCGTCTTTGCTATATGGACCATCTCTTTGAATATATAGGGGGTACTGTAATGTAAAGGGGCAATGTAATCAATACAGTGCCCCTTTTTGCCGTCTATATTACAGTGCGGAGGACCGCTCCATGAATATTCTGCCACCGTCTGCCCCTGCAAATGCCCTTGCACACACGCCCCCCACCCCCGGAAAATGGATGTTCAGTCTAAAAAGCCCGGGCTGATTTTTTCGTCCCAGTCCGAGCCTGGGTGGTCCTGTGGGCCTCATCCTGAACAACATCTTTTGTTTGAAGAATCCAGTCAGATGCAGTTGCTGTTCATGTATTCCGACTGTCACTGCTGACAGCTATCAGAATGCAATAACCCTGCAGGCTGAATATAATATATATACACATACATATATATATATATATATATATATATATATATATAACATTTTTGTTTGCATAGCCAGCCTAGTAGATGTGTGAAATGCCGGTGACCCCTTAGCTGCTTAGACAGCAGAGATCAAGCCAAGAGGTCTTGTTGCTAGGCCTGTACATCAGCTGGGAAATATATTGGGAAAGTCACAATACACATAGCAAATGCATACAATTTTTTAACTTGGAATTTCCAAATATTTGGATTACAAAAAAAGAAACTTCAGTTCTCTTTAAGCCCTAGTTCACACTATGGAACCGCACTGCATTCCTGTGCAATTCACATGCAATTCAGTGCGGTGTGATTTGAGCCCATTCATTTTGGGGGAGTGCAGTGGCATTGTTTGTGTATATATTCATTGATTGTTAAGGATGCCGGCTTGTACTGGATCCTTAACAAGAGCTATTCACTGGTTAAGGGGTACCGGCTCCTTAACAAAAAACATCTTTTTGCCATATGACCCTCAAAACGCCCATAAAAAACGAACCCCAAGTGCATTTTTAGTGGATTTACCATTGACTTAAATGGAAGCTGCATTTTTTGTGTACTTTTGAGAAACACACCAAGGATGCAGCATGCAAGACTTTTCAAACCACAGCGCAAAAAAGCAGTGATGTGAAAAGTCACACATGATTTAAAGGTTAATATTTCTGATCCACTTTTGTTGCACTGTAAAGGTTCTTTCTAGTGCAGCACACCATCATGAAAGGGCCATTAAACAAATGTTGTTTTTATCAACAGAAGCCGTAATGTTAATTAAATCCTTTACATGTGAAAACAGTATATAGGATCAGTGAATTCACAGGCCACATTTTATGAAAATGCAATTTAGTTGACACTTTTACATGTCCCAGTAATGAGCTGAGATTACTATGGCTTCTTACAGTCAGCCTGTCTCCAGCTGAGATAATCCTTGAGGTTCTGCTCACTGGGGTACAATATCACTCTACCGTCAAATCCAGGTGGGTACAAGATTGGCTGATTCGGGAAGAACTCCTTCCAGTAGAAGACATAACTGGAGGCTAACTGTGAAACCACATGTGTCATAAACTTGCTTATGGAAAAAAAAAAAAAAGAAAAAGACAAAACATAAATATTTTCAAGTTGTGACAAATGATAATCTTGAAATGTAATCACTGCATTTTATTTTGTAATATAAACAAACAATATGAAGCCTTGCAAATTATGCACTGTCAAATATTTTCCTCATATGGAATGCACTGTAGTTGGTAAACATAAAATGTTCCCTTTGTTCAGACATTGCATGAAAAGGTGTACCAAAATGGCGCCCTATGATTTTTAGAATCTGCGGAAAATAGGCTTGTTTGTATTTCGAGTCCGACGGTAGGGTTGCCTAGTTACCGTTCGGACTACGCTAATATGGCCGCGGTTGTCCCGCCCAGCGGTCTGATTGGAAGTTTTCTGGCCTATAAAATGGAGTACTGTCCACCAATCACGCAGTCCTGAAAAGGTCATGTGGAAGCGTGACGCAACGTGTCGTCAGCAAAGCGTGGTGACGTACTTCTGGTGCAGCGCCATTTTGGTACACCTTTTCATGCAATACACCCAATACATGGGGTAAAGGCTTGTACATTTTCAACAAAAAATGTGAGTGCATTTTTGGCTTATCTATTTCATTGGATTAAAAGCGGTTTTACACTATGGAGGATGTTTCTATCTCTTGTTCCTTGGGCTTATGAGAGAGTATTATTGTGAGGGTGCCTACTTGTCTACCTACTTACCTGTCCAGAGGAAGTAACAACAGTGGTGCTGCAGGATACCAGTGTGGTTATAGTTCCCAGGAAACCATGCTGAAGGGAGTGCATATACAGGGAGGATCCAGAGGTGATCCAAAAGGCTCTGTGGCCCTATGGGGTCGCTGAATGGAGGTGAGAGGCCATTACAGCCATTTTAGGATCACTTATCGGTGTGTTGTGCATCCACAATGTATATGTTGCATTACCAGAAGGAGTGAAGCACCTTGTTGTTTTTTTGGTTTCACAGAAATTGGACTTTTTGTACTATTGTACTTTTGTTTTAATCATTTTTTTCACGTATATTATTATTTTTGTATGATACCAGATTGTCTTTTACTATTTTGAGCACAGAGTGTTTTTTTATCCCTCAATAGGGATTCACATTATTTAAGCAATATAGTTTACATTAATATAGGTTTGCGTCCCAGTTTATTGGGTACCACGGCTCACATTATTTGTGGTTGTATCCCTACAGGGATTGAGTTCACATTTATTATTATTATTATATCACCTTTCATAAGTCACTTTATTTGGTCCATTTATAGGACCTTGTGTGGTTTGAAGCATGTTTAGTCACTATTTATGGTATATTGATATATATTTATTGTATGTAGCACTCCACTTTTTTATATTGTATTATTAATTTTTCACCTATAGGACTAGGTGTCAGCTGCTTCAATTTTTAGTTTATAGGTGTATATATAGAGCGCAGGGGGATTTTTTACAATTTTACTGAAAGGACAGTGTCTCCAACACTGATGGAATATCTGTGGTCACCAGGACAGAGAAATCTCTCCAATAAAAACATCTTCATAAGTGTGCTAACTTACTTTAAACATGCTTTCAGTATGCTTTTGCTAAAAGCATTTTGAATGATGAGGTCAGCACTCATAAGGTCAGCATTTTACATTACAAATGAAGAAAGATATAGGGGGATGATAATTTCAATGTGCATCAGGATTGTGTTGCTGACATCAGTTTGATACTTTTTCTAGATCATTTGACCTGCAGTTGGCCTCTTTCTGACCTGCTTTAAGAAGGTTTAGCATTCTCCTAGACTTGTTTGGAAATGCAAAACCCATCTGATGTGAACAAAAGCCCTTTGACACACTTTATAGGTTTCTAGAAAGTGGATAAAAAAATTTGTATTTTTATACACATCTTCTTTAGATTTGATAGAATTAGTGCTCATTGTTCTAAAGTTAGAAGAAAACTACTGAGATGTATCAAATAATTTACTGACCTTGCACGTCTTTTGTACCAGCTAGATTTCTTGTGGAAGACAAAGCTGTACTCATCGCTTTGTCCATACGCCAGACAGATGTCTTTCAGTTCCTCCATCACATTCTGTGCACAGCGGTTCATGAGCTGGAGAGCGCGGATGTCATTGGGTTTCTCAAAGTTATGCTTCTCTGAGAACCTGTTGGAACAAAGGTGGCTTAGTGGACACATACAGACATCAAACAGATAAGCAAACATGCTAAACAATTTGACAACATTGGCATATTAAATACAATTGCTGGGGGCCCTGATGTAAGGAGGGGGACTATAGGGACCCTGATTTTATTTTACTTTACTACCACTTTAATATAAGGGGGACTCTGGGGCCCATGATGTAATGGTGGTGACTCTGGGGACCTTTATAAAGTGGGGACGTTTGGGACCCTGATGTAATGGGGAGAACTTGATGTAGAGAGGAAACTCTGTTGACTCTGAGGGGGAACTCTTATGGGGATTCTTAACCTCCTCGGCGGTATGATTCTTTCCGATTTTTTGTGCTGAAAGCGGTACCATATTTTGCATGGAAATATGTAGTTTTTTATTTGTAGGCTGTAATTTTTAGGAATAACTCCCTGAAATCTGTACGAACAAGAGTCTAGTAAACATCCCGGGTATGATAAAACTTGAAACACGAAATCATAAATTATAATTTAATAAATAATCATAAAAAATAATAATATAAAAATAATGAATTTAATTCAATAATATAATCAAACCAAAAACACTGAAATTTGAAATACAGAGGCAAATTCGCACATCGCTGAGCAAAGTCGCAAAATCGTTTTCAGTGTCTGATGACGAATTTCCCCACGAATCATTATCACTCAATTCTGCAAGTGATTCTGATTTACTATCGCTCTTCTCTAGCTGGTCTAAAACCGCTTTTGACGTGAAGGAACGCTTTTTGGACACCATGGACTTTTCTAAGTTTCCAGGCAGAAAGAACAGTCAAAATGCAGGCAGGGCGCAGGACAAAGCAGTAGGGACAAAATATATGTGAAATGCATTGAAACAGCAATGACAGCAAAAATGACATTTTTTAAAAATTTCAAATTTGCCGCCAGTACCGGCGCCCGTACGTCCCGACGTCTCAGGGACCGGAACACGGAAGCCAGATGCCGGCATCGGCCGGAGGAGATGGCCGGGGACGCTGCAGGGGACACATCGCGGGAGCGAAAGACAAGGTAAGTGCTGCAGGGACTCCCTGAGCAACGCCGCATGGTAAGCCCGAGTGTAGCTCGGGGTTACCGCTCTTGGTACTCAAATTTTACCCCGAGCTACACTCGGAAATACCGCTAAGGAGGTTAATATAAGGGGTAATTCTGATGTGAACATGTAGTCTTGTCCCGATGCTGCCCTCTATGTTGTTTTGTATGTTATTTACTCCAGACCCCTGCACTCTATACATTATATTGTACACTATGTAGTCCTGACCAAAGTGCTCATTGTCCCAATAGTTGCCGGTTTTAATGAAGTTCTTCTTTAGGGTCGACTCTGACAGACAAAATGATCACTTTTTTGTGCAGAAAAGCATATGTGATGGAAACGTTTAAATATTTTAAAATTATTCTTCGCTCTGAGGCTTGTGTATCTGCGAGAGTGTCACTTGTGACATAGTAAATAGGAGTATTTTGTGGGTACAAGGACTGTGATATATGTGTGCAAAGTATACAATGACTAGGCACTGATTTTCTTTTTTTTTAATCATTCCCTTGAAGCTTCTCCCACTGTTAGGCAAAATCTGTCCTCTGCTTCACTTATTACTGGCCCCTAAACTCTGCAAACTTACTACTGACCTGTGAAGTCTGCCTCATCTACTCCTGACCCCTGTTCTTCGCCCTGCAAACTAATGACCTCTATACACTGCAACACAAACTTCTGACCCTATCCTCTGCCCTACTCACCTCCCATCTTCTTCCCCCCCCCCCCCCCTGACTTTTTTTTACTGCACCCCCACATCAGACAGGCTAGATCCGGCCCTGCTGTCCACAAGGTTTAGGAGTGTGCTATGGGAATGTTTGAACATTCTTCCACAAGTGCATTTGTGAGGTCAGGCACTGATGTTGGATGAGAAGGCCTGGCTCCCAGCCTCCACTCTTAATTCATCCCAAAGGTGTTCTATCGGGTTGAGGTCAGGACTCTGTGCAGGCCAGTCAAGTTCCTCCACCCCAAACTCGCTCATCCATGTCTTTATGGACCTTGCTTTGTGCACTGGTGCGCAGTCATGTTGGAACAGGAAGGGGCCATCCCCAAACTGTTCCCACAAAGTTGGGAGCATGAAATTGTCCAAAATGTCTTGGTATGCTGACACCTTAAGAGTTCCCTTCACTGAACTAAGGGGCCAAGCCCAACCCCTAAAAAACAACCTCGCACCTTAATCCCCCCTCCACCAAACTTTACACTTGGGACAAGGCAGTCAGGCAAGTACCGTTCTGGCAACTGCCAAACCCAGACATGTCCATCGGATTGCCAGACAGAGAAGCATGATTGGTCACTCCAGAGAACACGTCTCCACTACTCTAGAGTCCAGTGGCGGTGTGCTTTACACCACTGTATCCGATGCTTTGCATTGCACTTGATGTCTCCTAGATTGTAAGCTCGAAAGAGTAGGGCCCTCTAACCCCTCGTGTGCTGTTTCATGTATTGTCCCCCCCTCCATTGTACAGCGCTGAGCAAACCCTTTGGCGCTATATAAACTCGATGTAGTAATAATAATGTAAGGCTTGGATGCAGCTGCTCGGCCATGGAAACTCATTCCATGAAGCTCTCTACGCACTGTTGTTGTGCTAATCTGAAGGCCACATGAAGTTTGGAGGTCTTTAGCTATTGACTCTGCAGACAGTTGGCGACTTCTGCGCACTTCAGCATGAGCTGACCCCGCTCTTTTATTTTCCGTTGCCAACCACTTTGTGGCTGAGTTGCTGTTGTTCCCAGTTGCTTCCACTTTGTTATAATACCACTAACAGTTGACTGTGGAATATTTAGTAGGAAGGAAATTTCATGGATGGACTTATTGCACAGGTGGCAACCTATCACATTACTACACTTGAATTCACTGAGCTCCTGAGAGCGACCCATTCTTTCACAAATGTTTGTAGCAGCAGTCTGCATGCCTAAGTGCTTGATTTTATACACCTGTGGCCATGGAGGGGATTGGAACAACTGAATCACATGATTTGGAGGGCTGGCCCAATATGTTTGGCAATATAGTGTACATCATTTTTGGGGGGGGGGCAAAGCAATCTTCAGGCCTACAATTATTATTTTTTTTTAACCATGTGTGCAAAAAATGCAACTCCTCAGGCAGCGGAAGGGTTAAACCTTTGGTAACTACAGACACAGGCGGACACCACACGCTGCCTGCACACAGGAATGGCTGGTTTAAGACTGCTCTATGACAAGTCATACACTTTTCAAAGGGACCACTCAGCCTCTGGGATGGGTGATGATAGGTCCGCAGAGGAGCACGTGGCCGGACAAGTCACATGACCTCACCTGTGGAAGTTCCTCCCATCCACTCTCACTACCACCCAGCAGTTGGGCAGACATGTGTCCGGGGCCTCGAAGTCCCTCACATACTCGAACTTGCTCTTCGCCATCCCCCTGCGGCACACCGCACTCAGCAACCTCAACCGCCGCTGGAGCCAGTGAGCTCCTATCCGCATAGCCGGAAGCGGAAATCGCCGAGGTAGTCGCTAGTCTCCTCTCTAGGACTCTCCTCGTTAGCCACACCCAGTACCCGTGACTCTCGCGAGAAGGCAGGGTAACTGATGACGGGAGCGCGCGTTTGTTGAGATATTCGTGTGCAGTCAGGGAGATGGAAGGGCTTGTATTCGTTCTTACGCGTCTTTCTATGGTTCTCCTCGGCCACCGCACACAACACTGCTACTCAGGAGGAGAAGGCGCGCTGGCTGCAGAGAGACTTTGGTTCCCGCGCTGGCTGTGGAGAGGCCTCGTGTGCCAACAGAGAGAGACTTTGGTTCCCGTGCTGGCTGCTGACGGGAGCGCGCATCTGTGGCGTTGACTCGTGTTCGGTCAGGGAGAGTTGTTCTGGTCTCCTCTCTGGTGCTCGTACATTTCTACACACAGCGCTGTGCTTTACAAGAGAAGGCGCTCTCTGTGGAGATTATTTCCCCCCCATAGTTATCAGAGTAGCTGCGTGTTACCATAGTGACGGTGTACTAGTCTGGGGTGGGGGTGAGCAGGGATTTGTTTTTACTCTATTACAAGTCTCCATGCACGTGGGGCGTATCAATAACACTGGGAACGTTAGCTGTGTAAAGTCATGTTAAAAATGTGTTTTGTTTTTTTTTTTTTTTTTTAGCGGTTTTGCCCCCTTTTTTTTTTTTTTGCATCTTTTAGCTTTTATTTTTTTTATTTTGCTCAAAACAAGTCCAAAAATGCTGGTTTGTTGCATTTTTCAGTGTTACAGCGTTTTTACAGCTAAAAAAACTGTAGAAACACACTAGTCCTGGGGTTTTCCAGCCAAAAAAAACGTTGATTACAGTCTATGTGTGTATGGACACATAGGATAACATGCTGGGGGGTTTACTGGCTGTAGAAAAAAACAGCAAAAGCCAAAAACAGCCGCTGTAAAAACATCCAGTGTGCTTGAGGACTGACAGTGATGATCACATCCCCACCGCCCTATAGCAGATACACTGTTATGGGGGTGGCAGGGGGTGTGCAAAATCACATATACATACATGATTTTGCATTTCCAGGTCGGGTGTGCACGCCATACCTGCACCGCCATTCACAGGCGTGGCTTTCTATCTCTGGGTCCTGGCTGGTGATTACCGAGGATCTCTGACAGGGAGAAGGGCTGCATTGTTTACAAACTGACCTCCCTGTTGGCTCGGGCACACTGCTCTGGATATCTGTGTACAGCATAGCCAACCAGAGCAGTGTGCTGACAGTGAAGCACCAACACACCGCCCCTTAGTAAAACACTCCCAGCACACAGTTAACCCTTTGAGCGACGTGCATGTTAACCCCTTCCTGCCAAGTGCCATTAGTACAGTGTCAGTGTTTTTTTTTTTTGCACTGATCACTGTATTGGTGTCATTGGGGATGTCAGTTCCCCCCCCCCCGTGTCAGAATGCCCACCACAGTCCCACTATAAGCTGCTGATCGTTGCCATTATTAAAAAAAAAAAAATTTCCAGTATCTATACTGCCATTTGTAAACACTTTAACTTTCACGTAAACCAATTATATTACGCATATTGGGATTGTTTTTTTTAGCAAAGACGTAGCCTAAGTTTATGACAAAATTTGTTTTTTTAATTTTTTTTTCCTGAACATGTTTAATAGTAAAAAAGTAAAAAAAATGTTTTTCTCAAAATTCACTTTTTTTTTTTTTATAGCACAAAAAATAAAAACGCATAGGCGATCAAATACCACCGAAAGCTCAAATCGTGGGAATGGACTTAAATTTCATTTGGGTACAGCGTTGCATGACCGCGCTATTGTCAGTTGAAGTAATGCAGCGCCGTAATGCAAAAAATGGCCTGATCATGAAGGGGGGTAAATCCTCTGGAGGGCAAGTGGATAAGCAATAGTTAAAGCGGAGCTCCACCCAAAAGGGGAAGTTCCGCTTAAAGGACTGCTCCCCCACTCCCCATTAAGGATTGGCACCTTTGGGGGGCAGGAGCAAGTACCCGAATTTGACAGGTACCCGCTCCCACTTCTGGTCTAGGCGATCGGAAACGGAAGGTGTCCTCCCTCCTTTCCTCCCTGTAGTCTATTGGGACACGTGACAGGTCACAGAAGACTACAGGACCATTCATGAAGCACAGCGCACATGGGCAGTGGGTACACAGCTGTGAAGCCGCAAGCTGTCACAGCCGGGTGCCCACACTGAAGATGCCGGCCTCCTGGAATACAGGACGGCCGGTGAAATGAGCTGCTGGGGACACACCGAGGGACAGGTAAGTGGCTGTTTTTTAAAAGTCAGCAGCTACAGTTTTTGTATCTGTTGACTTATTTTTTGACAGGTGAGTGGAACTCCGCTTTAACTGTCATGAATGGCTTTCCTTTCATGATAACTTGCTTACTCGTGACATGTGGCAATTGGCTACAGCTAATCAAGGTGCCAGAAACCATGTGAGTTGCGTGCCAGTCATAGCATCACAACCATATGTAAAAGAAGAAAATCGGGGAGATAAGGATGTTAAATTTTCATAAAAATTTTGTTTTAATTAAAATTTTTAAGTTGTTAAAAGAAACGCAAATTTTATTTCATTTTTGCTTTCCCAAAATGTGGCAAAAAAATTACAAAACGGCTCTTTCACATGGATGTTCCAATCAGATCCGCCTGCCCATTTTTTTTAGGCGGACCCGATCGGAACCTACATTCTCGTCTATAGAGCGGCGGGTGTAAATGGACATGTGACTGTTTACACCCACAGACATTCGATCCGCCAAAAAGGAACGGATGGGGATCCAATTCCCCTTCCGTCCGTTGGATCAGATGAAAACAGACAGGTGGTCCGTTTTCATCCGACCGGCTATTGAGAGCGAGCAGCTCTGTGTCTGCTCTGCAGCAGTGGAGTAAACAGAGCTGTCATCTGCTTGCTCAGCGGAGAGATCCCCCGGTGAACAAGCAGATCCGCCCAGTGTGAAAGGACCCTAAAAAACTTGCCATGCCGCTTATTAAATACCTTGGACTATCTGCTTTGCAAAAGTGTCATTATGCGGGCATTACAAAGGCCAACCACAACATGTCACAAGTAAGCCGTCATGAATGCAAAGCCATTCATAATAGTTAACTATTGTTTATCACTGTGATCATCACAGTGATAAGCAATAACAGTATATAAAAAAAATCCCTGATAACTTACCCCCTCTCAGTGTATTACAATGTCACTATGGTAACAATCACACTGATAACAAAATGTAAAAAAAAAAATGTAGTAAAAATTGAATGAAAAATGTTTACATTTTTCTTTTACATACTGTCCCCAGTCAATATCTCTAATCACCACATCAGTATGTTAGAAAAAATGAAAACCCAAATGATATTTAATTTGTTCGTTTTCCCAAAAAAATTGTGACAAAAAAATTACAATTAAAAAAACTCAGTATACCTCTTACCAAATACCTTGGACTGTCTACTTTGCAAAAAAGGGATCATTATGAGGCATTTGTATTGTCTTGGCATTTTTGGGCCTCAGGCCATTAGCCATCAGAATTGATCAATTTTCAAATATACACTGCTCAAAAAAAAAAAAATGAAAGGAACACTTTGAAAACACATCAGATCTCAACGGGGAAAAATATCATACTGTATATCTATACTGATGTGGATGGGGTAATGTGTTAGGAACGTAAGGATGCCCCATCGTGTGATGGAAATGAAAATGATCAACCTACAGAGGACTAAATTCAAAGACACCCAAAAATCAAAGTGAAAAAATGATGCAGCAGGCTAGTCCATTTTACTGAAATTTCATTGCAGCAACTCAAAATGGTCCTCAGAAGTTTGTATGGCCCTCACGTGCTTGTATGGATGCCTGACAACACCACGGCATACTCCTAATGAGATGATGGATGGTGCCCTGGGGTATTTCCTCCCAGATCTGGACCAGAGCATCACTGAGCTGCTGAACAGTCTGAGGTGCAACTCGGTGCTGTCGGGTGGACTGAGACATGATATCCTAGAGGTGTTCTATTGGATATAGATTAGGCGAGCGTGGGGGCCATTCAGGGGTATCAATTCCTTCATCCTCCAGGAACTGCGTGCATACTTTTGCCAAATGAGGCCGGGCATTGTCGTGCACCAGGAGGAACCCAGGACCCACTGCACCAGAGTAGGGTCTGACAATGGGTCCAAGGATTTCGTACTGATACCTAATGGCAGTCAGGGTGCCACTGTCTAGCCTGTAAAGGTCTGTGCGTCCCTCCATGGATATGCCTCCCCAGACCATCACTGACCCACCACCAAAACAGTCATGCTGAATGATGTTACAGGCAGCATAACATTCTCCACGGCTTCTCCAGACCCTTCACGTCTGTCACGTGCTCAGGGTGAACCTGCTCTCATCTGTGAAAAGCACAGGGCACCAGTGGTGGACCTGCCAATCAAGCTCTATGGTGCTGGGCAGTAAGTACAGGGCCCACTAGAGGACGTCGGGCCTTCATGCCACCCCCATGAAGTCTGTTTCTGATTGGTCAGAGACATTCACATCAGTGGCCTGTTGGAGGTCATTTCGTAGGGCTCTGGCAGTGCTCATCCTGATACTCTTTACACAAAGGAGCAGATACCGGTCCTACTAATGGTTTAAGGACCTTCTACAGCCCTGTCCAGCTCTCCTAGACTAACTGCCTGTCTCCTGGAATCTCCTCCATGCTCTTGAGACTGTGCTGGGAGACACAGCAATCCTTCTGGCAATGGCACATATTGATGTGCCATCCTGGAGGAGTTGGACTGCCTGTGTAACCTCTGTAGGGTCCAGGTATCGCCTCATGCTACCAGTGGTGACACTGACCCCAAATACAAAACTAGTGAAAAGCAGAAAAAAGATGAGTAGGGTAAAAAATTTCAGTGGCCTCCACCTGTAAAACCATTCCTGTTTTGGGGGTGGTCTCATTGTTGCCCATCTAGTGCACCTGTAGTTAACTTCATTAACACCAAAGCAGCTGAAACGGATTAACAACCCCCT